CCTCATCTGGGTCAAATGACTCGCGAGAAAACAGGTCGGGTGATCTCTTACCGGGACATCAATCAGGGTGATGCTGGAGCGATAGTCCGAGTCCGGGTCGATGGGGTCCACAAAGGCATGCTGGCCCCAGTTTCCCACCATCAAGCCACAGCGCATGACCGTCAGGGGCAGAATCAGCACAAAGACGGTCGCACGGGCATTGACATAATGGTAAAGCATATAGATGGCGATGTAGTTGCCCAGCTCCCAAAAGGCTGCCTTGGCGGCATACTTGGCCTGCCCCTTTCTCCAAAAGTAAAGCGGCAATTCCATCCAGATGAAGAAGATGAAGCGGCCCACATAACACGCAAAGTCATACCCGTTGTCCCGGTCATAGAACATGGTGGTACTCAGGTCCTGCTCCCCATTCCCTTCCACATGGTGATGCTTGATGTGATGGTAATAGTAGGAGTTCCACGTGTGTCCAAGCATCGGGTCCAGAAGGTACGGGAAGAGGGTGTCGAAGAGCCAGTATCGAGGCGCCAAGACACCATTCATGTGGATATGTTGATGCTTCATCAAGGTGAACGCTCCACAGTACCACAGCTGCATGAGCCAGTGCAGGATCCCGTGAATCCAGGAGAACCGATAGTACAACAAGATCCCACTCGGCACAATGGTGGTAAAATATAACAACAAATGGGTCAACATCACCACATCCGTGGGGAATCGGACCACTCCCTGGGCCCACTGCTGATACGGCTGCAGCACATACTGCTGGAGAGCCACAGGTAATTTGGCCTGTAGCACGGGTGAGTCCCAAAATTGGAAGATTGTGGGATCGAAGTCTGGATGTGATGCATCATTCATATCCTGGAGCTTCTGTGCAACATCTTCATCGCTGGGCCGTTGGGCCCAGGCTGTTGTGGTCTTTGCTCCTATTGCCTCGTTGTCAGTTGGGGGGAAGCAAATGTTTATGTTTGACGGAGTGCAAGAAGGGCTGTATGTAATGACATACCTGTAGCCAGAGATTTATCCACCAAAGTGTCCAGCACGAGGTGGTCAGCAATGGTCAACTCTGGATCCACGTATGTGGTCGGATCCATGCTGGGCGACTGAACAGAGATATCGGCTGTTGTTTTGGAGGTAGGAAAGTCGGGGGAGGGATTGCTTGGCAACCCTGCGCGGGAGATGGATAGGGACGGGAGCTTTTTGCTCAACACTAATCCATCGGGGGGACTGAGTGTGTGTTACAATTTCCTGTGAGTAGTTCCAATGTCTCGAGAGAGGGCAAGTGTGTGTTGTGATGAGAATGCCGAGAACAGAAACCTCAAGGCAGGAAGCTCACAAGCCGGACATCCACGATCTGGCCTGACCTTTCGTCGAAAACGCTTGCTCCCGTCAGGGGGTGGGAAATTTTCTCCCGCGAGGGTGGGTCCAGAATAACGGAGATCAGATGGAGATCAGATGGAAATTCGTGAATGATAGAGAGATTTGACTCGGAGTCCTTTCTGGGTTCCTTTTGAAGACACGTTTGATGGGAATCTGGGATATCCAATTTTAAGAGATATTGCCCAGGGTCCAGTTGTCGACCAATTCGGAGGATTGACCTTGTACGTGGATTTCTCTAGCCCAGCGATGCTTATGAACGGGAGATCACGATCCGCTCGGTTGAAAAGCTTGATTGCAGGAGTATATCCTCGAGGGTGTATGATCATACTTCTCATGGCTCAATGTGCATATTCAATGTAATGGAGTTGGATCGTCCTGAGCGAGACAGTTAGTTTCAAGGTGTACTACAAGGTTATCGAGGTTGAACAGTGATGCGACCTCGGTGGACCTTTCCCGGCTTAGGTTTCTTAGGTTTGGCTGTAGCCCGTAGGCTTCCACTTTATTGATGGAAAAGGCGCACCGATTACTACCCACTCGGTCAAGTATAGCTCTACGCTCAGCAGTACGGATCTACCTTGTAAAGCCAAGATGGTCTGGAGATTCCATCTTATAAGCAAACTCTGTTCTGAACGAGGCTTGAAACGAAGACAAAGTTCATGCAGGGAGCGAATAATGCGCTAGTGGTGACTCGTGAGTGCCAACCTCGGTCTTCCTCCCGCCGTCGAAGCCTCGCTCTCGCACATCGGCGATCTCATACGCCGGCAATGAGATCATCATGATCATATACAGTACTCACGTACCTGCACCACGATCCAAATAAAGGTAGCGGTGATCATTGAAATATCTCCAAAGCGACCCTCTCATTCGCCTAGTCCAGACCTTTGGTCGGAAGGAGTCCATTCGAACTCAGAAAGGCGACTTTCTGCTGTTCCCTACTGCTGTGATGGTTCCATTCTCCTCCCTGGTAGATCCGAGAATCTGCAACTGCATGACTTGACCAGATCTCCGTCCGATCGCGATCTGATCAATAATCCACTTGGGCTATCCACCACTCTTCAATGGTTCCTTGTTGGCTTCGAACAGCGTGACCTGGTCCGCCACCCGCCGATGAGAAGCATCGGTGCAGGGTAAAAAGGTAAGGTAGATATGATCTCATCCCGGGTCTCGGCACGCGTGCGGAGATAAGCCCAGGCTTTGCACGTTGTATACCCCCAAACGAGCCCAGCGATGACTCGTTTCCGCCCCAGCCCGGAGAGTCTGCCACCAGTTACGATATCCCAATACGAGGTGCACTACGGTAGAACGGACCGATTCGATCTGGGGTCGAATCTGTATCTGACAAAAAAGTCGGAGAACCCTAAAAAAAGGGAAGAAAAAAAAAACATGGTCATCGGAGACAGAGATCGTACGGAAGAAGAATGATGTATGCTCGCTCCTTTGTCGGTCCGAACCTAACCAATTCTCCTTAATTACCAGCCAGGCCAACTCGAACGAGAGTCATGCATTGCAACCTGTTGCGCCGAGAACTCACAGCCCTTCCCGATGGAGGCTCTTGATCAAGTCATCTCACTTCCTCTCAACAGGCCCTACCGTTCCAAGCAGCTCAAGGATGAGAAGCCGTGTCTCGACGACGATGGATACGTTTGTTTCTCGCCCGGCGATGTCGAGAATCCCCATAACTGGTCGAAACGGCGGAGAGCTGGGGTGACCATGAGCGCCGTGCTCTTGGTCGTCAATGCTACCTTTGCATCCAGTTCACCCAGTGGATGCCTTCCTTCGATAGCCGAATACTTTCAAGTCTCACGAGAAGCGGCGAGTTTGACCATCTCATTGTTTCTGCTAGGATACTGTGCAGGGCCTTTGATATTTGCCCCGCTGAGCGAATTTTATGGTCGTCGATGGATCTTTTATGGCTCCTTCACCGGCTACATTGCCTTCAACTTCTTATGTACATGGCCTCCCAATTTCGGAGCGCTGCTGGTGGGTAGATTCTTGACGGGCACTTTCGTCTCTGCCCCCTTGAGTAACTGTCCGGGCTTGTTGGCGGATATGTGGAATCCGCTGCAGCGTGCCAATGCAATGGCCTGCTTCTCCGCGACAGTGTGGATGGGGCCCGCACTGGGGCCTGTTGTCGCAGGCTTTCTGCAGCTGAAGAAAGACTGGCGCTGGAGCTTCTATGTCCTCCTATGGCTCGGAGGCTTAACCTTTGCGCTCATGTTGACCATCCCCGAGACTTATGCGCCGACCCTCCTGACTCACAAGGCCCGACGCATTCGCAAGAAAAAGATCGCCGGATATGAGAATGTCAAGGCGCCGGCTGAAGATGATGATCGGTCGCTGTTGGGTATCTACAAGGTCGCCCTGACTCGTCCATGGATCATCCTATTCGATCCCATCTCGTTGCTCATTGCAATCTACATGGCATTTGTGTATGCATTGCTGTACATGCTGTTCTCCATCTACCCCATCGTCTTCCAGCAGAAACGGGGTTGGAACGCCGGTGTGGGAGAGCTTCCACTGCTGGGAACTGTGGTGGGAGCGATCCTGGGAGGTTTGATCGTCTTCACAAACACGACCTTGCAACAAAGGAAGATCAAGCAAGGCAAGATGCGGATGGAGGATTCCACGCCCGAGGATCGTCTCCCACTGGCTATGGCCGGTGGGATCGGATTTGCCGTGACTATGTTCTGGTTTGCATGGACGGCCGAGTTCAAGTGAGTCAATTTCCACTCTTACTCCATTTCAGGTCGGAGGGACCCCGGGCATTATCTGACTTGACATACAAACAGCTCCATCCATTGGATCGTTCCAACCCTCGCCGGCGTCTTCTTGTCTAGCTCACTCCTCCTGATCTTCGTCGCATATCTCAACTACCTAGTCGATGTCTATAAGATGTACGCCGCCTCGGCCATCGCAGCGAACACCATTGCTCGATCCGCCTGCGGAGCCGCGGCCCCCTTATTCACGGACCAGATGTTCGCCGCTCTAGGGGTTGGTGGCGGAGGTAGTTTGATTGCTGGTGTTGCGACCCTTCTCGCTGTCATTCCGTTCCTATTCTATAGGTACGGTAAACAGATCAGAATTCGCAGCAAGTATGCCCCAACGCCCGATGAAGAGAAGGAGGAGCGTGAAAAGGACGAAGAGCGGGGGCTGGACGAGGCGTTTGAACCGGAGGAGGATAAGCCGGAGGCGCATAATAATTCTACACGATAGTAATTGGGGGAGGTCTAATGATGAATGATGTAAAGGAATCGGATGCGGACATGTCAAGCAGCATGCTGCCCACGGCTATACAGCTATGTGTTACCACCGATGCTGGTCAGGGTTGAGTGGGTTAATGACCGGCTGGAATGTTAATTGTAAAATAGTGAATACATAACCTATGAATAGCAAATTCCAACTACCTGCAACATCTGTGAGCACACGCCATCAGCCCGCGAGCCTGTTCAGTTTTACCTGTTAGTCCCCATTCCGACATCGTATACCTCGGTATATGGCACAGCACGAGCAATTGACCGTTCGTTTCCTGCTCCATGTTGCAAAGGCAAACCTCTTATCGACCCTCTCACGCATACTCCAATTGATGTTCGATCCACAAGGGAGAAAAAAAAAAAGAGCCCGAAAAAGAAAGCCTCCACGCGGGATTGAACCACGGACCTCTTCATGTCGCAACTGCTCGGATGAGCTGATACAAGTGAAGCGCTCGTACCACTGAGCTATAGAGGCTTCTTGTTGTATAGTGGCAATAAAGTGTAACTTCTCTAGTGTATTGACGAATTTTGACATGGAGGCACCTGTTGTGTACTTGGGAAAATGTAACAGCTGCGACCGTCGTCCGTTTAGATGTAGTTAAGAGTGCGGCTGTGGTCGCTTGAAGCCAACTTCGATCCTGATGGTTTTAAATTGTGAGTATTCAGCTGGGTTTTCTGAAAATTGAGTGGGCACAAGGGGAGACGAAGTGCAGTGCTACTGTAAATATCTTGTGCTTTGTTGATGGTTAAGTTTTCGCTTCTTTCGAACTGTGATATATCCGTGGGCCTTGTCCGTCCAGTTTGGGTTGATGGTGATAAAAAGAAGGAGAGGTCATTCCACCTTAATGCCCGACAGCCCTACCACCACCCACAAAACATTGATCCACATATGTACTAGGTATGTAGTGTGTAACTTAGGATGTACTACACGCATGTAGAGCCAACAGCGACCGACCTTGTACCTACTCCACTGAGATAATTCAACCTGACCCAAGTCACACGAACCCGACGTCATATGCAAATAGTCAATATCCAAGCCCTACCGACACAGCAATTCCCCGAATTCCAACGGACTCACGGACAGAATCCATTTTGGAAAAGTGATCTTTCTGAGACCATCATGCCGGTTCGACGGTCGTATGAGCACGCTCAGCGCAGAGGCTAGCTCGGAAAAAATCAGCCCGCAGCATTCAGTGCAATGTCATGGTGGAACCTCCATGTGAAACCTGCAGCCAAGTCTGAGCGCCTCGAGAAGTACGGTTTCTTCGAGGTTGGTAATTGAGATCAAACTTCGGTTGAAGTATGACACCCACTTCGGCACTCGCGGGTATACTACCTTAGATACGCAATTGCCAATCAACTACTCACCATGGACGCAGGCCAATGGGTGATACTTCAATGGTACTTCAAGTATGGGGGTGTTATAGCATAGTTGTATATCAAAGACCCGTATTTCCCCGGACATTGTTCCCTATCAACTTCCGACAACGTACTACTGATTGATGTTTGCCCAGGCGAAGAGCCCGTGGTTCAATTTTGGGAAGAGTTGCCCCCCGTCGGATCATATGTACTACTGACTCCAGTGTGGGATGATCGATGAAGTCCCGTTTCCTGGGACGGGAGTGGCAACGGAGACTAGTCGTTCAGTACTACTGTAAGCATTAAGCAATAGTAGTATCGACGGCCGAACAGTCACGATATCGTGATGCGCACATCAACAAAAGACCCGCCATGTACACATGTCATATACCAAGTTCCCCATCCACCGACAATCTTCCAATGGCCTCTGGTCAAGACATCACCCATTCAAGCTGGTCAAACTATATTCTGTCGAATGTCTTAAATGCCTTCCACCAATATGATCGACCTCCGCCTCTTCACCAGCCCTAATGGGGCGCAGATCGGCGGAAACGTGGGACCGAAGTGGCGACTGCTTCTCCCTCTGCCCTCCACCCCGGACCCGATCGACTCTAGCGGAGCTGCATGGTTCACATTTTCTCATTCCCCATCGTCCGTGTCCCATCTCTTTTGTCCAGGGTCACATCCATCTCCTCGCCGGGAAAGTAGTAGTAGACTCACTCGCTTCTGCCTCACTTGCCCAGGTAAGTATCCTGTCAGCCCCTTCCACAAGGTCTCACCCACCGCACCTCGACTGCACGGCTAGCAGCAAAACAAGGCAACTCTGCCACATTCCGTGTCTCTCCACCAAAGGCAGGCCAACTCGGCGAGCCCGGCTGACGATGGTGCTATTTTAGACGTCCGACCTTTGCGCATGATTCCACTCGGCGGCCTGCACTGACAGTACCACTGACCCAGTGTGTACCGTGCTGCGCTGCGAGGATCTGCATAACACTATCAAAAGACCCAAAAACAAAAAGCTCCGCACTCACGGGCCTCAATCGTTTCGAGTCATTATTTATAGGACGATCACCATCCGCTCTCATAAAGCGAGAACCATCCAGTTCGCCAGGCTCTCACTTTTCTCAACACTTCCTCCTGCAAAATCCGTCGTCTCACTCTCTCTTCTGGTTCCCCCCTGCAAACCGACAAGATGAAGTTCCTTGCGACCCTCGCTCTGATGGCCACTGCGGTCATGGCCGCCCCAGCCGCCAAATCTTCCAAGGAATTTCACCTGAAGACTGCGGGCGCCAGCAAAGCCAAGTTCAACGACTTGTTCGTCTACGCCTACCACACTGGTGCTGGACTCAACGATGCCGTGCTCTCCAAGGACAGCTCCATTGCCAGCGCATTCTACTTCAATGGCACCATGGCCCTGGCAGACCTCAAGACTGAGTTCCCATGGGGCATGATTGCGCCCGGTGATGCCAACTATGCTTGTAAGTGTGAATCAAAAAGTGATCAGACTACATGCGGAGAGAGGACCCCTATGCATGAGTACTATCGATGATCCGTTACGAGGAGAATTGTACTGACTCGGGATTTTTTTTCTCACAGCATGGGAGCCAATTTTGATCAACGCCGGCAGCGGCACAGAGGGCTTCTCCATCGACAAGGGCAACTTTGTCTGGTCGGCAGACTATGGCTTCGGTGGCTGGTTGGGTAAGTGATTTCTTGCGTTTGAACCACCTGGAACCTTTCATTCCAGTCCTGACACCACCAATCTGACTGATCTCATGTATAGTTTGCGACTGGTACCACAATGCCCCCCAGCTGTTCTATCTGAACCGCTACTACCAGGCGACCATCCCCTCCAGCTGCAGCAAAGTGCAGTTGAAGCCCATCTCCCTTTAGTGGAGTACCTGAAACCTGCCTTGCTCCACCCGCACTAGTTTGCCGGGACCGACTATTTCTTGCTACGACGCATGACGAAACTCGACATTTGTATTAATTGATGATCACCACCTCGCTTAATTCTCCAGAACCATATTGAAGGAAATCCATTCATTTTAGCGTGCTTTTTGCACTTCATCAATTCGTTAATCACGTAGACTGCGTATTCCCTTTTTTTTTTGGCTTGTAATCTCGTCATGAGGCTGCGACCGGAGTTTGAGTCGGACTGTAATACCGACGATCCATCCCAGCCTGCAGACGAGCTTCCTCGTTAAAGGGCCCCTGTATACTACCTCGGAAGTGCTTGGACACATTATCTCGGAAGATCTTCACAGGGTCGGTGCCTTCTTGCGCACAAATCCAAGTCAACCAACGGTGTCCCGTCGTGACGTGCGTAATTTCGTCATTATGGATGATCTCCAGCGTCTCGACACTCTCCAAATCCGCCGCAGTGCGGAACTTTTGAATCGTCAACGGATTGACATCCAACCCTCGGGCTTCATGTACCAGGGCAATAATGCTGATCCGAGATCGTAGGTCAGACGCCGTCTCCAAAGCAGACTGCCACAGACCGTTATGGACCGGCAGCGCACCGAAATAAGAACCCAGCTCCTCGATCCGAGACCGCAGAAGCGAGAAATGCTTCGCTTCGTCGCGGGCGACCTTGAGCCAGTCGTGGAAGTACGCCCGAGGAAGCTCCTGCGGATTCGATTCGACTGTCTTGAAAGTCGAGAACCGCACACAGATATCGATGGCCAGATCGATGGCCCATAACTCAATATTCGCCAGAGCATGGAGCAATGCGATTCGACTCTTCACTGACCCGGCCTTTCTGGTACGGGGCATTCCGCCGGGTCTCACTTCGATCATCTTTTCTCGGGGTGGTTGGTCCGGCGCAGTGACGGTGCCTCGGCCGATCTCCATCGGCGAAGCGGTGCCTTCTCGCGCAGAAAAGATGTTGTAAAGGTGTGTCGTCAATTCGATCTTGTGTTCCGGATGGGCGGTATTCAAGATGTGGACAGCCCAGTCGCATAGCGTCGCATCGTCGCCAAGATATGGGATCGGGCCGGCCTCTGTCGTGTTCGAGGGTTTTGCTACCGTGGGGACCGACAACACCAAGGTCCCCGTAGACTGTGCAGCCGTTGGATTCGACTTTGACTTCAACTTGACTTTCTCGCTGACAGGCTCGACGCGACTCAGTCCCACGGCGTCCCCGGCCTCCGTCGGAAAATCGATCAAGACATCACCGCCGGACACATCAACGGGGAATGTACACGCCTTGATGCCCACGCTCGACTCGCCCGTCTCCACGTTAAAGTCATAAGCATGCCATGGACACGAGACGATATATGCCGAATCTTCAATGTCGACCGAAGAGTCGGCCATCGGCCCGCCTGCATGCGGACACTCGGCCTCCATCGCGTAGTAGGACCATCCTTGCGTTTCGTTGGGTTTGGAACAGGACGGGTCGATGGCGGCGAGGCGGAATAAGACGAGTCGCTTTCCGGTCGAGAGATGGATCAAATAGCGGGGATTGGTGAACGCTGAAAGCGGTCCGCAATTGATCTGCATCTTGGGGGTGATCTGGTGAGGGACTTGAGGGAAGAGCGACCACGTACTCCCGCGAAGTGTAGCGAGTCTAGCGACTGAGATAGTAGTATGGGGGACTCCGTGATAGGGTCATTATCGCGGGGGCTGTGGTTTTTTTTTTTAAGATCACGTGCTGATAAGATTTACCCTGTTGAATTCAACTTGATGTCGGGCGGCGGGTGCACTGCCAGGTGGACTAGTAACAGGTAGTAAGTCTAGTAGGGTACAGGACAGCACGAGCCAGTGAGCCAGTGAGCCACTGAGCCAGACTACCAAACAGCGCGGTATGGCGGCCCACCTGAAAGGCGGGGATGGCCGACGGGTCGCACAATTGCTCTTCGCCGAGTTCGCCGATCCACAACAAAGCATGAGATGATCAATGTTGTCGAAGACCTACAGGGGTTCAGAATTTGGATTGGAAAGACGGGACGCGGGAAGTCTATCATCAGAGTTTCTAGTACAAGAACTTCGATCTGCGTTCATACGAGTCCGGTTGAAGAAAAAGTACATGTAAATTCTGATTGTTGACAATGATTTGAGGTCCCTCATTCAGGTCGATGCCCTTAGTATGACGGTCTGGTGCATCGTGTCAGC